AATTTTCCATCTTTCAATTAAGGAAAATTTCGTATTCTTCTTAGTATATGGATCTTGATGTTCTAGGTAACACATTTTAGTGGGCTTTTGCACTTTCTTCAAAATGAGCTTGGAATTTCACAATTTCCCTCATCCATTTCCGTAGTCGAAAACTTACGTGTTGAAACCGCTTGAACAGACGCCATGTTTGCAATAAATAAATAATAAAATAATCATAGAATTTCCTTGACAACAAAATCAACGCCACACAAATTTTTATTTACAATACGAAGTACATAATTGATTAATAAAAAATTAATGTTTTTTTTTAGATTTTCTCGTGAAAAATTAAAGTTTGTATGCAACACGAGCAAAATGATGTTTGTAAATCTTGGGCAACTTCTCGAATATAAACATCTTCATTATGCCCTCGATACAGAAATAACTATTATTGTGTACTTATTGGGGTCGAAATCATTAATAAAAAGACATTTTCGGGCTTTGGACCAAGTCAAATTTGAAAAAGGTTTCAAATTTTACCTTTTCTCTTTAACATGGTCCAAACCAGCAAACGTCTTTCTGTTATGTGTGCCTATTCTATACTTTTACTAATACAAAAATAAATATTTAAGTAAAACGTATGTCTGTGGCATAAATATCTAAGCAGCCTCTGATTGAAGAATCAGTTACTTCGTTTCATGTAACTATTAAGGTAGCTTGCACAAAACTTAACTAGTGCCGGAATAGCATAATTTAACTTCTAAATATTTTTATTAGCATTCATGACAATAACCAGATGGTCGATTCTATGAAGGTCATAATGTTATAAAATCTCACAGGAATAGGAGAAGACACAATAATGCACAAATTTATTGCGAATCCATAAAAACGAAAAGAAATAAAATATTTGATTACTCCTTCAAGCTTTTGATCATTTAAACTGATGATAAACAGCTGAATGTAGTTTGTCCGATGTTTTTCTTCATTTTTTTGATAAGGTGATCACTGATCAATAGTAATTTACACAACTAGTTCAGGATAGCCTGCTTCCCGCATGAACGCTTGTTTGCGGCATGCGGGAAGCAGGCATCACGAACGTGTTGTGTACAATATTTTTTGCAACGAATAAACCTTTAAACTGAAGAGATTAACTGTGAGTGATTTATAAACAACGGCGTAAACACGTTACAATGTTGACACTACCGGACTATTTTAAGGTTACCATGGCAACGAAAAGTTAAAATGCACGTGTGCGGGAAGTTCGACCTCCCGCACCTTGGTGCATGGGCGAAAGTCATCAAAAAAGGTCATGAGTGTAAAAAATTATTTTGCTAAATCTGTGCTGCTGTACTCCTATTTTACCGACGCGACGTCTTGAACTGTTACTTGATTTGCTGCTTTACTAAATCCCTGCTAATCATTGTTTTTCTAAGGTCAGACTCTCCTACTAGCTTCAAATAACGGTGATATGGAGGTCATTTTAATGCAGTAAATGGTAAATTTTTGTTACCAATAATTTTTAATGTCTTGAAAACATACCTCATTTTTATTTAGAAATTCCAAAAATTCACTCTTTGTTCTCAAATTTGTTGACAATAATACTCAGAGGTCGCCAAAAAAGTTTTGGTATTCAAATTTTACATAGTTTATTTCTAATATCTCTTGTCTTTAAGATATCGTTTTAGTTATTAATACTCTCTGTTTGCCAGAATTGTGTTACTAGACTCTGATCTTAATATATATATTTGCAAATTATCAAGGTTTTATGGAGAAGTTTTTCAAATAATCCAAATGTCTTTTTTGTTGTATTTAAATTATTAAAAAGAATTCAACTGGTTTACTGGAACTCAGTCTTCGACACCAGGTCAAATTGTGGGTTACTTAGCTAGGTTATAACTTATAACTTATAACATTTACACATACAATTTTCTACGTAGGACGAGTGAAAACTTCCAGATTTATTGTCTAAAGGTATTTATTATAAGTCTGCTCATGTGGTATTCGAACACAAACGCTGCATTTGATTTGGTTCTTTTCTGTCATCAGATGCAGTCTCGGGTGCAACAGAACATCAACCCACGACAGGTCAACAAATCCTGTTTGACAGCCACAATATTCTCGTAAAAATGGCAAATTAGTTTAATAAGAAATTTCGAGAGAAATTTACAATGTTCCAATAATTTGAACAGCTTTCTTTTGTTGGAAAATCGATCCGAACCTGGACACAATCTCACCACTCATTGCTCTCCTATTCCAATTTCATAAAAGTCTTAGTACCGTTTTTGCCGCGCCAGACGAGGTTTTTTTCCAGTCCATCCTTTTTTTTAATATTTCGTTCATCGTTTTCAATACTGACACGGCGCAAACCCGGAAGACGTCCTTCCGTTATTAATTCTGACTGTGAAAGCCTTCGTTTCAATTTTAAAAAATATGGAAACCTATCTCGAATTAGACTCAACAAAAAGATTGCTGCCGTTTTTTTCAGTTTTTTTTTATGAAAATGTCAGACAATAGTGGTAGTGACAGTAACTTCGTTGCAGAAACTTTCATATGCCCTTAATATTTTATTAAAAATAGTTAAATGATTTAGTCAGGAACGTGAAGATTTCAAAATAAAATGAGAAATTGTTGGCTTAGAGAGTGAAAGAAAGGAACATTCTTCATCAAGGAGCATTAACTATATTTTATCGCTACCATACTTAAAAAGATTATCATTTTTTCTCTGAGGATAGCAGTATTTGCATTATCTTCTCATTATGGATATCTTTAACGCTAGGAGAAAGATAAAGGCCCCACAGGATTCAGGTGCCCATTGTTTAGTATCATTGGGACATCCAAAATATCTTCTTATGACGATAAATTTTGAATCGCTGGCATCGTCGTTGCACGAAGATGAAGATTTTTCATTTACAAGACAGTGCTTGCATTTTATTGTTTCCAGTGTCCATTGTTTTTTCCTCGTTTTTTTCTGTTCGACTACTATTCAGGCGCTCACAAGGCGCCGGATTTGTTCAGCATGCAAAGACATGCAAATTTTGGATGTACAGGTTTAATTAGTATGTCCTGATTTTCAAAATATTTTCCTCGAAAATTTGTTTGCCTTAGCACTGAAATCTTCAACGGACTGTCTTTATACGTTTGTTTGTTAAGTGTTTCTAGCAACCGGAACTAGGTGTTATTCACTTCGTACTTATATCTTAGATCTAACGATGGTTGCATTCAAACTTATTCTGAACTCTGGAATGAATAACTAGTTCGCCATTTACTTAGCCTTATGCATAACGTTGGTGATAATAAACTAGAACATCTATTTCTGGATTGTCAAAGGTTAAGCAGAACTTGAGAGCAAGTTTCTGGGATTTTTGTGAATTGTATTTTTTTCCATTATGTTTGATGAGCCGAAGTTTATTGTTTTCAAAACTGAAATTTAAAGTAATTCCTGAATCTCTTTGACGCGAAATTCACTGAATTACAGGAGCAAGGGTACTTATATCATATTGTGTGGAAGTGGAAGTAAGTTCCAAAATTTTATTAGTCACAACTAAATCGAACACCTCCTGTAAATAGAACTTTATAAGCGGATAGTACATGTAATATTGGCTAGATCTTAACTTAAGAGCATGACTGGAATTTTGTCTCCCCGATTTCAGTGTTAGTTGAGTTATCGAACTTTTGGACTTACCAACTGTAGCAAGTATGATAATTAATTCTGCAAAAACTTCAGGGTTTTGATGTATTGTGTGACCTAGAATATGAAAATTTTATAAAGTTTTTGTTACATGAATTTAAAGTTTACACGGATCAGTTTATGAAAACAAATGTACTGTATTTACATTTATGTGTTCTGTTGTAATTTTCAATAAGTGAAAGGTGGATTTATATGACCTGTTTTACTTTTATCTAAATCACTTTTTGTCTTTTAAAGAAGTGGTCAAATTCATTTAGTGTTCAACAAAGCGCATTTCTACGTCGAACAATGTGGTTGATCCTACACGCAGTTAATTATTTATTATGATAAATGAAAAACTGAATAATTTTGCTTCAAGTATAAAGTTGAAGTAATGGGTACATCTACTACCGTCAAAAAACTAAAAATGGATTCTGAAATACGACATGATAAATATCAGAAAAATATAATTTAAAATTATGGAGATTAAAAATATAATAGATTTACAACAGGTGCAAAGACTTTATGAACTGTAGGTAGGTATATGATTAGAAAATCGATACGTTTTTACCAACTGACAATACAGCTAATGAGTTTTATATACTGCTAACTCAAGTTGGAATAATCTATGGACTTTAAAAATAGTTAAGAATACAGGAATTAATTATTTTAAAAGTTTTCTTGCTATTACCATAAATGCTTAACTGTGTACTTGACTAACTACTTTATATTGACTAAATGTTATATGCTCAAAATATGTCTTCCTTAAAATGTGACTCTTCAACATGAACCAAAAGGCATAGTATTCTGGATTAGGTAGTTAATTTGTCTAAAATAATAATTAGGTTGCTTTACCTAAAATGTATTTATCATCTACAAAAATGTGGATATTAAAACTAGTTGTCATCACTAAATTTGGGAAGACCTGAAAACGCTCGCTGCACTCGTATTCTAAGGGCATGCTTAAAAATTATGTTTACAATTAAAGCAAAACAACTTCGCTATGACTCTTTCTTGAATATTTCTCAGACTAAATTTTGAAAAAAGAACGTTTAGAATGCGATTGTGGCAAGCACGTTCAGGTGTTAAATAAAAATCGTTGGTCTGAAGTTGTAAATTTTCAGGAAAATGGGATGAGCCGTTTTTGATTTGATCAATAAAATAGATAGGTTCATTCATTAATTTTTTGATAGACCTTGCATAAGTAATTATAAAAATTGGTCGAAGGTTATGCTCAGATGCAAATAAGGTAAAAAAACGATGAAAAACTTCAAGCTAAGGGTTGTTAGTAATAATTCTAGCCTCGAATTTTAATTATATTGTGATAAACCAGACGAATAAGTTAGATTGGTGTTTAATCGTTACCTCGACAAATGACGTGGAATGCTGTCGTTACAGGCGTTTGAGGTAGCGACTCTGTTACACTACAAAGGGGCGTTTAATGAATTAATGGCACTGGTTAACGATTATTTTCATAACATATTAGCTACCATTATGTTCTAAAATATTTACTTCGAGTTTCTTCAATTTTAAAAACTATATATGTTAAACGTTAAATGTCTAAATTAAGATTTCGTTCAATGCAGTAAAAGAAATACCTAATAATTTAAAATGGAAAAAGTTTTGCGTTTATGTGTGGGAGGTTTATTTTTAATTAATGTCCAGTCCTTGTTTAACAAATTACAGAAGCATCATATAGGTGTATGAATCAATCAATAGTTAAAATATAAATAAATCAATTCCGGCATCAGTTTTCTATTATTATCTTTCAAAATATCACGTATTTTCCTTGGGTAAAATTGTTATTGTACATCGATATCAAATATGAATTATGCGTATTTTAAATTAATTTGATGGTGGATGAGTACTCATTAGTATTCTGTTTTTTGATTTAACGTCAAGGCAAATAAGCGACCCAAATGCGGAGCTGAAATAAATCCGCAGGAATATTTCTTACGTGTCATCATTATAATTCCGTTGAGTCTCCTTTAGCGTAAACTTTAATTACTTACTTAACTTCCTGTTTGATAGTCTAAATAGTTGTGAATCTGTTTGTAGTGCCTTGTTTTATGTTGCGTTTGAGTGGAAATACTTAATTTCGTAAAGTAAGTAGATTTCAGTTTGATTGATCGTTTTAGAAAATTTCACCGAGCAAAAAATGTAACATTGCGAAATTAACGTTACAGCATTTCCTAATTAATTAATCGCAATAAATTGTTGGGCATTTTTGAAGAAATTAGTCGATACCAGCTCTAATTAATTTTCGTCCACGTCCATAATCCATCATGTTGTCAGCGAATATGTAAACAATACTCGTAAATGTTTTATTGTCGCTTTTTTATTCGTGGACATGAAATACTTTTTAACGAGAAGTTAACAGATTTTAGATTTTCTCAAGTTGATTGTGATTAATTTTCTCTTTAATATAAAAGGATAAAATTAATTCGTGTCCACGGAATTTTCATCCTTTGTGAAAATAAACGCGACGCATTTTTTGTGAAGGGAACAGTATTCATAAATGTAACAGCAATTTTTTAATCATTAATTACAAGGCATTTTCTTGTAGTATAATATAAGCAATAATAAGGTAAAATTTTATTTGTCGACATTTACGTGTTTTGAGGTCTCTTGAGTGCATTTTGAAATTAGGTAACAATTCGTATATGTTTATCAAGACGTACACGTGTGAAGGTCTCTCTCTCTGTAAGTATATATATGTAGATATTAGTCTGTTGCTTTTCGTTTAAAGTCACTTTGTTTTACATTTTATAAATACTCACCACCATAATACTTGTTGTTATGAAACCTAAAAATTAAAGTTCCCTATTAAAAAAAAAAAAAAAGAGAAAAGTGCACTCATACTTTTTTATTTTGTCGATATTGCACTTACATGTCACATGACGTCAATCAAACGTGTCAATATTTTTAAATTCAACCAATCAGCATATAATTACGGGGTAATTGCACACTATGCATATTGCTATCTATAATTGTACACTAGCCCTATTTACGTTGCTTCGTTATAATAGCTATAGTATCGCACATCAAACTACTTCGTAAATTATTTTAAAAGTATTTTCAATATGTTTGTTCGTGCAATAGTCTGCTGAATATATTGTGTGCATCACAATTATATCGATAATTTTGAGCAACTTTTACACTCGTGCAGTTTTCAGTGCAACAAACATTCGGGTTATTGTTATTATATTATAACTGAAAATTAGTTTGCAGGGGCTTTTTGTCAATATTTTTTAAAAATGATGTCAGATAGTCAAAGTTTTAGGGAATTGGGAGAGCTCGTGGAAACTACTACTATATAAATATTCGTATTAGTATTATTGACATAACAAGATTAAATATGCAAGAATTCTGCTATAATTCTCAAAGATGTCATAATCTCATAATTCACGATAATATTGAAAGAAACTACCACTGTCTAAACAATGTATGAGACTGACTTCTAATTATGGGCTGGAATTTTAATTAACAAAAAATTTTAACTACTGTAGTTTTTGCTAAGATTACTATCTTTCTTGTTTATGTTATAAAGAGGTTAAAATAAATTACAATAAAATTACAAAAAATTAATGACAAAAACTAAAGAGGTAAAAAATAAAATTATGTATTCCACTCGTAAGGAAACGAAAATGTACCCACTTGTAAAATTACCCAACTTGCTCGCTTCTTGGCTAAACTTATCTTTCGTTTGTAATTTATTTTTTAAACTGTGTTTTGCAGTGGTGAACTGTATATTCAACTTACCAATGACTGATTAATATTCTATGATTGTGTTAGTTTTTAACACGAATTTTTTAAATGAACGCGAGCGATCAAATGTAATAGTGCCCAGGAAGTAGCTTTAGAAGCGTCAAGAGTAAACGCGAGCTTACTCCCACTAAATAGGAAGAGAAATATGAGAGAGAATTTCAAAAATTGCAAAATGACTTCAGTATAGGTAAAATGACATAAGAGTTGGTAAAATATCGTTTTACCAACACAAAAATCGTCGGGTAAATAGACAAATGACTATAAATATAAAATAAAAGAATTTTATTTAAAAAAATATGTAGGGGAGGATGGAGCAAGACGAGGAACTCAACAAAACATTTTAGCGCAACGCAATAAGCAGTCAAACGCCCTACAACTCTTCCCCTTGAGACACTTGAGAACCACTGAAGTGGGACATGACACTGCATTTCAATTGAGAAAAAATCTGTTCTGACGAGTATGCTTATATTGTTGAACTATTTCATTCAAAGGTATCAAAGGATTTGGTGTAAATGTCTGTTGGACTCGTGAGCGTTTTCACGAGCCGTAAAGAAATGAAAAAAGGGGTAAAACTTAAACACAAGTTTATTCTGTGACGTCTACATGCAAAATCCCCCGGTCGTACCTAGCGTTCCGCTCTCTTCATCCCTCTCCCATTGGGGGTGGACGAGCATGCGCACATGATCCTAACATAGCTCCCCCTGCTGAATTTAATGGAAGATTACAATTCAGGATATAACAATTGATTACAAATAGGTACAGATACTTAGAAATATTATATGAAATGTATAAATAAAGTACATATTAACGTTGACATAAGTGGAACATATATGAGTCCATTCGCAAACAAATTGATTGCGCACATAACACGACTAAATTGATTGCGCCCTGTTTTCACTCACAACAGTCCTTGTTAGAGTCCATGGGCAAAACGCAAATTTTCGTTAATGGTCTTTTAAACACTCCCCGCATTGTTTTGATCGTCACTACACGACACTGTCCGTCCTTTCCCGGGTGTAGCTCCTCGATTCGCCCTAAAGGCCACTGTTGTGGCGGAGTGCTGGCCTCGCGGACTACCACCAGGTCCCCCTTGGCGGGCTTCAATGCTGGAACGTTCCTCCACTTGTACCTGGTTTGTAACTGATGCAGGTACTCGTTGGACCACCGTTTCCACACATCTTGTCTCATCTTCTCCAGAAGCTGGAAGCGGATTAAGCGATTGGTCGGAAGGTCCCTCAGGTCTTCCTCTACCGGAGCGGTCAGCGGACCGCCGATTAGAAAATGGGCCGGAGTATTGCGACGAGGTCGTTCGGGTCATTTGATAATGGGGTGAGAGGTCTGGAGTTTAGACATGCCTCTATCATAATCAACACGGTATTCATTTCCTCATAGTTCAGCAAAGTATTATTTAAAACTCGTCTAATGTGCCCTTTAATTGACTTTACAGCAGCCTCCCATAAACCGCCCATGTGGGGGGCGTTTGGAGGAATAAAATTCCAAATAATGCCTAAATTTGAAAGATTGCCTACTACCACATCTTTAAATGATTTTGTTTGGAATAATTGATATAACTCTTTTAAATGCCGGTTACTGCCTACGAAAGTCGTTCCGTTGTCAGAATGAATCTGACTTGGTTTACCTCTACGGGAGAGAAACCGCTTTAATGCATTCAAAAATGAATTTGACGTGCAGTCACACACAAGCTCTATATGCACTGCTTTGGTAGCGAAGCACACAAAGACGGCGATGTAACCCTTTATTGTTTTTACCGTCCTTCCATGGCCGTTTTTTAGTGTGAATGGCCCTGCATAATCAACACCAGTTACTGTAAATGGCCGCGATGGAGTTACTCGTGTTACCGGGAGATCAGCCATCAATTGTTCATATGAAATTGGTTTGCATCGATAACACCTTAGGCAATTGAAAATGACTAATTTAACCGCGTTTTTGGCTGAAACAGGCCAATATCGTTGGCGTACTGCTGCTAAAGTACCTTGACAACCGATGTGCAAATTTTCGACATGATATTTCTTAATAATTAGATTTGTAATGAAATGCTGTTTCGGCAGCAATAGAGGGTATTTCCGATCGTTATGAATGTTGGAGTATGCTAATCTACCTCCAACTCTTACTAACCCAGAAGAGTCAATGAAGGGGCTTAAGTTTTTTATTTTACTGTTATTGGCAACCTGATTATGTTTTTTGATATTGTGAATATCGATGTGAAAGGCTTCGGATTGAACTTGTGTTATTATTAAGCTATGGGCCTCTCGTAGTTCGCTGCAAGTTACAGCGCCCAATTTTTTATTATGTTTGTTTTTTAAATTAAAAATGAAACGACGCACGAGAGCGGTAATTCTTAACAATTTGTCAAAATTTGAAAACTTAGACCAAAGGGAACAATGTTTAGTGACCCTTTGCACTATTAAACAACATTTTGGTTTCATTTCTGGTAAATTAGTGCCTGAGGGGACTTCTTGTATATATGGTATGTGTGGCGTTGTTAAAAAACTAGGGCCGTGCCACCACAAATCTGAAGACATCAAATGACGCGGAGTGTCGCCACGCGACAGAATGTCCGCAGGGTTTTGATTTGATGGAATGTGGTACCAATTGTTATAAGGGGCTAGAGACTGAATTTCTGAGACTCTGTGGGAAGCGAAAGATTTTAATAAGGCGGGTTCTGTACGGAGCCATGCCAATACAATTGTAGAATCGGTCCAATAATAATAATTACGGATTTGAAAATTAGATAAAGATTTGGTTACCTTATATACCAATTTGGCCAAAAGCAGAGCTCCGCACAGTTCTAATCGGGGAATGGTTAATGATTGTAAGGGAGCCACCTTGTTTTTTGAGCACAAAATATGGCTTTGATAAGTACCGTCCGGACCTTGAGATCTCAAATAAACACATGCCCCGTATGCAAGTTGACTTGCATCGCAAAATCCGTGGATTTCGACTTGTTGATAATCGCAAATAGCTCGGCGCGGTACCGCTACCTGGTTAAGCTGTGAAAAGGTTTCTAGAAATTCGCACCACATTGTGTGTAATTCAATAGGTAAACTTTCGTCCCAATCTAGTTTTAGTGACCATAATTTTTGTAAAATAATTTTAGCAGTTATGACTACAGGTGCCGCTAATCCCAACGGATCGAAAATATGAGCGATCGTGCTTAAAATGCCGCGTTTAGTAATTTTGTTAATTCTTGGATTTTTCGAGTGAGTGGAGGAGTACTTAATTATGTCATTATTATTATCCCAGAATAAGCCTAATGTTTTAATGGTATTTTGTTTGTCTAAAGAAATCTGCTCTTGTTGTTGAAGTTCCTCGTCAAAACCGAAATCACATGAATAATTGGAACTTATTTTGTGTAACTCAAAACCTGCCTTAATTAAAATTTGCTTGATATCATTTAGTAATTGTGCCGCGTCCGCAACATTGGATGAGCCATAGATCAAATCGTCCACGTACATGTCACGTAAAGTAATGGTTGCTGCTTCCGGAAAATTTTGCATTTCTAGATTAGCTAGTTCATGCACACATCTCGTTGCTAGATATGACGAACTAGCAAATCCATATGTGACCGTGTTCAGTTGGTAAACCTTGATATCCTCGCCTGAATCATTTCGCCAAAATATTTTTTGATACTTACGATGGTCTGGATGTAAAAGTATTTGACGATACATCTTTTTTAAGTCCGCACAAACGACTACTTTATGAATCCTAAATCTAATTAAAATGCTGAACAGATCTTGTTGGAGATTAGGGCCGACTAATAGATTATCATTTATGGATTTATTGTTATCAGTTTTCATGGACGCATTGAAAACAACCCGCAATTTGGTGGTCGTTGACGATTCGTTGTGGACCGGATGATGGCTTAAAAAATAACCGGAATTGTCGGGTTCACATTCGGTATTTCGGTCATGTGCCCCAGTGCTAGATAGACCCTCATAAATTTCGAGTACTGCTGAAATAAGTTCCGGTCCTTTGAAAAGCGTTTCTCAAGGTTGTAAAATAGCCTCAAAGCTCTTTCTTTGGAAATACCCAAGCAAGGCGGTTCGTTTATCAATGGGAGCTTTACAATAAACCTACCACTAGTTGCATCCCTTGTAAAGGTTTCCTTGAAATGTACTTCGCAGGTGTTGTTTACGCTTGAACTGTCTGATTTTTCAGGTAAATTTTCTACTTCCCAGAACTTTATAATTTGTTTATCTAACGAAATATTTGAAAGGTTACATGAGGTTAAGTTATTTGATGAATTAAACTGATTTAGAACGCCTCCAATTACCCAACCGAACTGGGTTTTTTGTAATGTCGGGCCATTTTTGTTAATTCGGAACTGACCAATGCAAAGTATGTCCCAAAATATTTCGTTCCCTATCAAGAGGTCAACGGCTAGTGACTTATTATAAAACGGATCGGCTAATTTGATATTGGTGGGTAGATTTTGCAATGGTGTAAATGATTGCGCAGGTACGTTACCCGTGATTTCGGGAACAATTAAGAAGTCCAAGTAGGCCTTGAATGAATTGGAAATTGATGAAATTTTTACACTGACTGCTTTACTAATAATAGAAGATTTGCATGCAATTCCTATCAGGGGTAAATTGATTTTGTGTATAGTTTTTAACCCCAATTTTTGTACAGCTCGCTCGGTAATAAAATTTGAGACTGAACCATTATCTAGCAAACTACGAAATTTTATGCCTTTGTTATTAGCACCTGTCGCCAAAACTTGTGTGGTTGATAAAATTACATTTTTGCTTAAAATTTGTGCACAATTGCTCATTGTACTTGAAGAGGGTTGTGGCTGCGATTCTATGTGCAAAAGAGTATTATGACGTCTATTGCATTTTTTACAATTGCCGGCGTTGCAGGTCTCGAGTGTATGTCCGCTACGTAGGCAATTCGTGCATAAATGTCGTTTTTTTATTTCATTTAATCTGCGATCCACGTTAAGACCTAGGAAACTCTGACAAAAAAAGATAGTATGCGATTGTTTGCAGTAATTGCAAGATATTTGACTATGTTCGTTTCTGTTTACGATATGACTGGATGGCTTATTGTACTTAGCATTGAACGGAAATTTGGGTTTATTTGGAACGTTAAATTTATTACTAAGAAATGTCGCTTCAAATGATTCGAACATTTGACAACGTTGTGTCAGAAATTCAAGAATGCTTGTTGTTGTGGGAATGTCTTTGGACAATGTACCTTCCCATGCAATAGTTGTGCCGTGATCAAATTTACAAGAAATTAAATGAATAAGAAGATCATCCCATTGATGTACGGGACGTCCAATTCCCTCTAATGCCTTAAGATTCGAATTGACTATTTGCAAAAGGGTTCTGAGCGATGCAGAATCCTTTGGATTAATGTTGGGCAATGAAAATAACGAGCGCACGTGATGCTGACTGATCAGTCGGTTATTTTCATACCTTTCCACGAGTAACGCCCATGCTGCCGCGTAATTATCGGTGGACGGTGTCAAATGGCTAATTGTTTTTTGTGCTTCGCCCGATAAAGTACCTTTTAAGTAGTGAAACTTTTGAATGGCATTTAAACTGGTATTATTATTAATTAAAGATTGAAAAGAATCTCGAAAACTAAGCCATTCAGTAAAGGACCCATCAAACGTGGGCAAACAAATTTCAGGTAGCTTGACCGGAAGCGTTTCGTTACGGTTTGATGACGAATTCGAGTTAGGTACTGACTCCAAAGCCCCGGCAGCTTGGATTAAGCTTTCTGCATTACTCACAGCTTCAAAATATTTATTTTCGAATTCGGTTGCTTCGTCGTCCTTGACTTGTATTTCGTCCACAGTGGATATTTGCACTTCAATGTCTTGATATTCGCGTAAGCAAGGTTCGATTGATGCTAACCGCCTTTTTAATTCTATTGCCTTTTTAACGTTTCGAGGGTCTGCTATGAAATTGTTAAACTTTGTCAAACGCGTTTTGAGAGCAGCCCGTTTGGCTATTAAAGTTTTAATATCGTCCAACATTATGAGGAAACGAACTGACGAGTAATTGATTATGACAAAACATGAATAATAGGATAGGAAACAAGGAACTGACCTGAGACCTCGTATACTTGATGTGTTGATGTTTTCTTGTCCACTAGGTTGGGCTGATGATTTTCCCCTGGAGTGGCTAGGAGTGATGCGTTGATTTTTTGCACTTACTCGCGTGTTGCACGAATTCGTAGCACACCGTTATGCTTATTTATCCGGCTCGAAGGACCATTTTATGTTGGACTCGTGAGCGTTTTCACGAGCCGTAAAGAAATGAAAAAAGGGGTAAAACTTAAACACAAGTTTATTCTGTGACGTCTACATGCAAAATCCCCCGGTCGTACCTAGCGTTCCGCTCTCTTCATCCCTCTCCCATTGGGGGTGGACGAGCATGCACACATGATCCTAACAATGTCTTCGGGGAATGTATGAAAAACAAAGATTAAAAGTGAGCATTTCTTCAAATTCGTTTTCACTGTACAATGTTATTATAATTTTTGTTTTCTAAAAATATCCAGTGGGGTACCACATCTCACCCCATCTTCAGTTAATAAATCCAACAATGCCTGCAACAGCAAGAAGTCAAATATTGACACGGAAAAAGGGGAAGACGCATCTCCTTACGAAAAGGAGTTAGAAAAACAGATTAATAGGACAAAAATCAGAACAGAAGGAAGAAAAAAAGAAAACTGAGAGACTCAAAAAGAAAGAAGAAAGGCAGAATAAAAAATTAGTCCAACGTTGTTTCGACAGAACTTCCCTCGCACCTAATGTATAATGAAACATATCCAGCATTTTCGAAAAACTATAAATTTTTGAACCAACGTTGGAGAGGATAAGCAAATATACTTACTTTGATTAAAAATATATAATGCCTCAAAATTTCAAAGCGTTCGGTTTCGCGGACTCAAAATTAAATTTCAAAATGTTGTTTTAATAATTTTGATTTTTTTCCAAGAATCTGGACGTTTCGGGTAAAAACTCAACACGGAGTCGTAAACTACATGTGAAGGACTATGTTATTTTTTACAATTTAAAACCCATTTACTATGTACAATTTTGGGGTGACGTCGTCACATTATTGGTGGCGACGATTAGACAAAGTTTGGTTAGAGTTTTACCATCTACATGATATTCATAATATACATATCTACATATAAAAGTTGACAACAATCGGTCCAGTAGTTTCGGAGATTACTTGTTTAATAAAAATCCAGACATACGTTAGACAGACCGATAGACAGACGTCTGTGACCGGATTGTTGGCACATTTTATTTTATCATTTCATAGATGAATATCGTGTAGATCGTAAAACTCTAACCAAACTTTTATAATTACCCCCACAAACAATGTGACGACATTATTGCAAAATTATACGTAGTAAGTAGGTTTAAAATTATATACAATAACATAATCCTACACGTGCAATTTACGAGTTGAGTTTTTACCCGACACATCCAGTTTTTTGGAAAAAAGTTCAAAATTGTATAACAAACATTTTGAAATTTAATTTTGAAACAGCAACATCGCATGCTTTGAAACTGAGCAGAGGTTACCGTCAGTGTGATAATTTTTTTTTAGATTTGCTTATACAGGGTGATTCAAAACAAATAATGGATGATGATGAATTTATTTTATTGATCAGTTCAGGAGCGGCTCAGTCCATTTTCTCGAAAATTTGGGAATATAGTAATGTTGTTATTAGTATTGTACTACATCTAACCAAACTAATATACGTGTCCTTGCAAGAACGTTATAAATTTTATCGGACAACAAAATAATTACGAAATTATAATAAAGCTTAGCATACGTTCAAGAAGTAAAAAATATATAGATGCATTAAATTCGTTACATACTAATCTGCTCAGGAGGCCATGACCAAGTGTTATAACTAGAGAGCGGATTTCTGTCGGGCTAGGCAAGGCCAAACTCGGTACGGCTCGTACGGGATGGGAATTCATTGCAGTTGCGGAAAAGTTTTAGCTTTGGTTTTTTTGGGATGTCAAAGGCATTCTTTGGTGGATTATCTCCAAAGAGTTGAAATAATTAACGGAGCATACTATGCAACCCTACTTGATAAGCTAAAAGACAAAATTAAAAAAAGCGACCCGGATTAGCAAACAAAAAAATTTTGTCTCATCAGGATAATACACCCTGCCACAAATAAGTTACTGTGATGGCAAAAATTAATGAGTTGCGGTTTGAATTGGTACCCCATGCCCCCTACTGGCCTGTCTTAGCCCCCTCGGACTTTAGTTTATTTCCAAACTTGAAAAAATTTCATGCTGGAAAGAAATACCAAGTCCGTTGAAGATGTGATTTCTGCCACAAACAAGTATTTGACCAGTTGGACGAAAGGGCTTATAGGGGTGGAATAAGAGCACTTGAACATAGGTGGACCAAATGCATTGAACTTGACGGGGATTACGTTGAAAAATAAAAGGTTTTTCTTATATTCTTTTCTTTTATTTTACTGCCCCCAAGGGGGTACAAACATTTTTATATTACTCAAAGTACTTACGTAAACTATTTCTTTAATTTTGTTTGTGTGGCTGAACAGAATTTCGTCCTTCATAGTACACACAGTGCCCGCGACGTGAGCGATCTGTCGTTCTCACCCCACCGTCTAGGTACCGCGAATCCTGACACTATACCAATAAATGGCGCGTCACATCACTCAGAAACAACTACAGTAAATCTTGCACTATACTTCTACGGAACAGAAAACACGCCGCGGTTGCAAAATTTATGTTGGCTGTGTTATCTTGGAAATTTTTGGTAATCCACAGCTAGATTCCGTGTATGTATGTGTTAGAAGATCTCGATAAAAATTGGCAACAAATGTTATCTATTCTTTTGCGACACAAAATTTGAGACAAAGTGCACCAAAGCAAACTAGTCACCTTTAACCAGCTTCTGGATTCTGCTTGCGCAGTTCAAAAATACGATTTTGAGACTATCTTGGAGACGTCGCTCCTGAAGAGAACTAACAACTTTACGAGAACTATTCCAAATAAAAAAGGAAAACGGAGCGATATCTGTCGTAGAAATGAACACGATTTGTACAATTCTCAATATAGAAAAAAGTAAAGTGTATTAAAACATCACGGCGACGGTGAAGTACATATCGTGGGACGCAGATTAAACACGACGTTCGTCGTCCTCATCACTGTTGACACAACCAAATCTCAAGAAGCACCAGTTCCGCTTTGGTGGCGAAACCTGATAGAACGTATCCATTCAATTACGGTTGCCCCGAGATCATACTAAGCGATATCTAAGTAAGTAGTTATCAACGCAAGGAGGGTACAACAGCTAATCAGTTCCATTGAGCCGGAGTGTAGCGTCGACCGATACGGTACTTCTGAAATCATTGCACCTCACTCGACGTGAAGCCTATACCGCGATCCAGAAAACACAGACTTAAAATATTTTCATTAGAAGTTTACCCCACGAAAGGATGCACTCTGTCACTGGAACAGATATAATAGGTGAATAAAGCCGTCTGCAAATTCAAAGAAAGAGATAAGTCGGGTCGAATTTGAACGATTTAAGACATAACTGAAGAGTGTGACAACCTATGTTGAAAGTCAATGTTCACTATTTGGCGGACTGTATTTACGATAGTTCATACCAAGTCGATTGCTCACCAGTCCCCTTGACGAAGTCCATCATAAAATTGTCGCCCGTGTATCATCGACATATTCGTTGTTAATTTATCGAGGAGGCATCAACTCCAGTCGCCCCAATCCGGCCCCAATGGGGACAAGTTTATGATCCAGAGGGGACGGATGTAACAAAATTGCCGAGCTTTTGAGTGTGGTAGGAAACATCTATTTAATCAATACGATTAATTATTATCAATAATACGATATGGAGCTAGGTGGCCAAGTGCTCTGTGCGTCTGGCTAGCGTTGGGGACGTTCTGTGTTCGAATCCGGGTATCGTCTGACCTTTTCATGGATTTCTCCATTAGTATAGTAGTGTAACCAGCCTAACAAGGCTGGGGCGTGAGTTATATAAAAAAAAAATAATATTTTGAAAAATTAAATTATCTTTAATCGGGTAGCGTGTTTTTATCTGGTCTTCTACCTGAGAAGTGTTAATCACACATCACAGAAAAATGGGAATTCTCTTACCTTTCGAAACTTCCCTTTTCGCTGCTCGAGGGCACGGAGTCACTCACTAGTACCGCTGTTTCAATGCACTATTATTTTAACGGAAGGGTTGGCCGCAAAGTCCGCAAAAAGAAAGTCCAACTTAGTTGAAAATCGGTCACCCTTATTTATTTACACACACTAATGAATTAATCAAAAATTTACACAAGAAAACCAAAATGAACAAGTGGATCACCGCTCGCGGTGACTTCCACAAATTTAGAAAATAACGCAAATGAAAGTTTAACACTGAACCAAAAATGTACACTAAGACACTTTGAAGCAAAATTTAAAACAAATAACGCGACGAGAAGGAACGAGTTGCACACTACAAAATCCCGACCAGAGAACTGACAAAAATTGACCAAACTACTCTTTTATAATTTCGCCCAGAGTGGAGACTCCACCCGGCGTCAAAGGGGCTAACAAAGAAAAACCAATGGGATGAAATCCCCTGTGTTGGAAAGAAGTGCTTTCTCGTTCTCTCTCGTCTATACCAGCAAAACACCCAAATCGCCGTCGATTTACATATTCCTATCAAAAATTCCCTAACAATAGCAATTACCGTATGAAATAACTCTATCGAACAGCTTTTTGGAGTGGCCATTGGCTCGCGACTTAACTAGGATAGCCAGACATAGATCTCGAACCCATCAAACGTTCTTTTACTTGTGACTCGGCTGTTTCTCACAGGTGGAACTGCAAACTTTATTCCACCTGTGGTAGGCTAGATCTATGTCCGTCATCCATCCGAATTTCCAACCTTTTGTTTTCTCAAAACATCTGTACACAATTATTTACAAAGTGAGGAATCGCATCACGCCATTTCGATAACGGGATCCCTCAAACAAAGCCCTTCTCTGCCTCTGTCCCCATCCATCATGGTCGCCATAAAACTGTGCCGTTTCTTGAAATTCGACAAAAGGGCTAGGCACGCTTGAAACTCAATTTACTTTTTTAACGACTCCCTCGGAAAAGATCGGACATGTGGTACTATAAAGTTAACCCGAGGGTTCAGTGCCACATGCAGAGAGGACAGGATATAGCTAGATGGGACAAAGGAAGTATATGGATCTATTTGTTGGGTTTTTCTGGGAAGGTTCGGAAGAAGTGATTTTTAAGGGGTCGTTAACAAGAATTTCGACCCATGATGAACAGCCGAGACAAATCAGCTCGCGACAATGACCTTTTTGGGGTTGCACGTGCACTCGTACAAATGCACTTGTTACAGTAGTACTATGCAGGTAATAGGCGAATGCCGGCATTTATGCCTCAGTTATCCATCTTCATTGTTTTCGACCCTGGCCTTAACCACATTAGAAGGGGATACGAGTTCTTTTATTTTCCTTCTGAAAATGGCAGATTTTTTGTGGATTTCCCGAGTCTGACGAGTTCCTCCTGGGCAAAAGCCAGTCACTTATAATAATAATAATAATATTAAATTATTGCGAACGGGCATTACCCAAAAGAGCAGTATAACGAAAACAGTTAGTACAAAATAAAAGAGGACAAAAACTAGATAAAAAAATATCATTCATTAAAAAATACAGATTTACAAAACTGTATAAATCCTTGCTGACTAGTGACAAATATATCAAGTGCGAACTTAATATTGTTCCAAAATCTGCACAGGTTAACTAATTGTAAATGCATATGTTCATTGTTATGAGTTACACTATACGTAAATGTTCTGAAACGCCTGATATTTGTTCGAGAGACATTCAATTGGATTTGATGCAATAGGTTACTGTCTTCAAAGGTACCATGCAATAGATTAGTATTCCCGTCTAGTTTGTAGTGGTACCAGATTACACTCCATAAGTCATTCCTGATACAAGAAGTTCCGAACGGGGTAACAGCCATGAATTTTGAAGTAAACATGTTTAAACAAAAGTTTCTGAATCTTTCCAAAGAAATGATGTGCATTATATAAAAACGAGTTCAAACGACGGCACAATATTCCAGTACAAATCTAACATAGGATGCATACAACAGTTGAGAATCAATATTAACAAATTCTTTAGTGTTTTAACTATGAATCCCAATATTTTGGCGGTCTTATTACAAATGTAAGTAATTAGTATGAGGGACAAATGAAAGAGCCGTATCAAGTACAACACTTAAGAGCGCTTGCTCATAAAAATTAGTTGAGAATCATTCATGATGTATTTAATTAAACAATGAGTATAATATTCACTTTTCTCGATAAACTCATAACCTAACATTTACTCATATTAATCAGTAATCTATTTTGCTTACACCAAAGTACAAAGGCTTCAATAATATTTTGTAACAAGTAACAATCATTATCCGCCCTCAAATGGAAATCTAAATCATTTCTAAAAATAACACAGAGTACTGGTCCCAAGTTTGACCCTTGACACATACCACTTGTGCAATCATATAAGGGTGACTTATAGCCCAGGTATTCCACATACTGCTTTTGATTTGCTAAGATAGTATTAAACAACTTTACCAAATTATTTATTATTTATGCCAAACGAACCAAGTTTATCGTGATTCATCTCGTCGAAGGCTTGGACAGTCCGTGTAAACTACATCTACTTGTAGTTTTAAATCAAGATCTTGCAAGATATTTTGGGTAAATGAATACAGGTTAGTGCAGATGGAATTACATAACCATACTGTGCATCAGACACCAACTGTGACAAGTGGTTATTAACATATTTGTATATTATACACTGCAATAATTTAGCAATTTTTGGAACTATAGCAATAGGTAGGTCTATAATTCTTTAGGTACGTCTAATTTACAATCACTATTGTATATAAGATTTACTTTT